TCATTCTTAGGAATGTCTAAATTCAGTTAAACTAGCAATTCCGTATTATATTTATAAATCTTTATAACATTATACAAAAATTAGATTTTTTTTTTAAATTGAAATTTTGCCGGGAATGGGGCTTTAAAGGCCACTTGTCCATAAGTTAGGGTCATGACCTTGGATGGATGATCAGACAGGTGATAGAAAATCATCAAACATTACTCTTTCAAGGCACACTACTTAGTACTGTGTTATGTACAGTACAGCCTGGGCTAGAAAAACAGTGTGAAAGCACAAATGCACATCCCTGGATGCATTCTTAAGGGCACATAGAAAAAATGATTAGATTTATTGCTCTTTAAAAAAAAAAAAGTGATGAGGGCAGGAGGTTTTTTTTTTTTTTTTTAAATCGTAACAATAGAATATTGTTTATTTTATTATTGATGAGGGAGGGACTGTTTTTATTTGGCAATATTGTATAAAAACTGGTTCAGTTTGATTGTTTTATAATGAATATGTATTTCCAGTCACGAAATTGCATTGTTTTTTTAAGCTGTTGAAATAAATGAGGCAAAAAACTATTTTTTTTTATATTCCCACATCGATATTTCCCAAATTTTTAACACAGCGGGAGTGATAATCTAACAATTTTTTCTATGTGCCCTAAAATGAAAAAGCCTCCAGAAGAGTCATTCAGCATTGTTGGTTGCACCATGTAAAGATGTAACATTTTGGTGCTTAAGGTATTTTATAAGGTGTAATTGTTATGGTTGAAAGAACAAACTTTTTTCAGTCCTGTGTATATATACCGTGAAAGCATGATGGAATTCTGATAGGCCATAGGCCTAGTCCAATTCTAAAATATTCTGTTTTATTATCAAATACACTAATATACAATTGAAATTATATTATTTTATTAAACACAAAATGAGACAAGAAAATTTAGGTGGATGGTATTGGTAGTCAACTTTCAGTTTATAATAGACATAAAGTTCAACAAAACTATAAATTTTTTATTCAATTTATAAATTATAATTATGGAAAGTATAACTTTTTATATTTTTAGTAGAAAATGAACTCGTTTCTGTGACCACCTACTCTCTGTTGTATGTCTTGACCCGTATGCCTAGCAGATTGATGGTGAGGTTGTCCTGTATGTACGTACGTGTATGATCTTTGTGGTCCAAATATTTTTTCATGTTTTGTGTATCGACAAGATGCAGGCCTATCTCTCTATAAATATCTACAGGACTTTTCTACACATTAGACCACACGAATGTATCACAACTGATCAAAATAATAATCTAAACACCAAACTTGTTCCGCGAGCACAGCGCAAGCCTAGCGAACAGCCACCTGCGCCGCTGCTGACGAGTCAGCTGCAGTGAGCTTAGCCTAGACGTTGTCTAGGCTAGGTTTGGGGGTAGCACAACGACAATTCGACAAGAACGAAAGAGTCAATTTCCCTTTGGGACGGAAGCCATGTAAAACTCACAAAATTAATCAACTTACCACACAAAACAAACAAAATATCTTAAATATCCTACAATTATCGTCTTTAACTCAACATCTGCCGTGGAGAGAGGTTTCCAAATGAACTAGGCAATGTATAAATCCTAGTAAAGAACCCTCCTGATAAATTCTACCGATGACTCAATTCCAGCGGCGAAAAACATACTTTATCATTTGCTAATTTTGAAACTTCAATGTCTATTGAAAGCTCAGGTCATCGTTAACCAATCAAAATCGACGTGTGACCGACAAATTCGTGTGTCGATGTCAAACGTGTAGGCAGATTATGATTATGATGTGAATAATATAATAATATTATTAAAACAGTTAAATTTTAAGGTAAATATTTCGAAGCAAGGAAAGTAAATTGATAAGGCTATTTTAAATCCAAAGACCCTGTATACATATCCTATAAACTAGAGTGGTTCTCTCAGTTACGAAACATGAAATCGTCATCCACTGCCAATAGGTGTCGTCCTACTGATTACTTGCTGGATCAGTTGCAAATGTATAACGTGTAATATTGGATAGACCTACATGTTTGTATAATTATGAAAACAATGGTACACTTCTATTTATATAGTTCATACTTAAACGAAAACATACATATATACGATACTACCACATTTTTTTTTCAGCCGCCACATACTTTTTGTCCACCACTAGCAAATTCTCTCAAAAACATCATAGAACTTATAGATCTCCAGTTCAAGTGACAACGAGATGCACGCTTCGGTTGTTAATAATAATAATAATAATAATAATAATAATAATAATAATAATATATATGTATATATATATATATATTAATGATAATAAATTATAATAATAATAATAATTTAGGTGGTTATAGCGCATTTTCAATAAAAACAATGCGCTTTACAAAAGTTAAAATGGACAAATCGAATCAATATACAGTATATAAGGAATAATTATACAAAGCTTAAGATTAAAAACTACCAAGTTTAAATTAGAATGCACAACATTAAAAGTTGAAAACAGCCAATGAACAAGTACAGAGCAATAATTTTGATGTCGATCAGATAGCCACATGTACCACGCGCGCGAGCCGCTCTCTTGAATGGAAGAAGTAAAACATAAAACTGTGGTATCATCGGATGGAAATTTGGCGCGAAACTTTTCCCTCCGTTTGTATTATGCGCGGCGCATGTGTATGCGCTGTTCGCGTCTCCGCGCGGCTATTTTGCGCATGGGTATCCCTAGTGATAATTTAAGTCAAAAGAAAACATTAAACTTTCACTCTTGAGCTTAAAATTCAAGTTCATCAGATTATTTTTCCGAACCCCTCCTTGGTTTGGGTATCGAAGACATCTTAGCGATGTTTGCAAAACGACTTGTAGCTACGGTCTTATCACATCCTGCCATTCGACGTTCGACACAAGTGAGGCGTAATTCACAATATCAAAGCACAATGGTATACATCAACTTTCTTTATGCTTCTTTTTCGTTGATAATAATAATAATATTATTAATATAGCCAAGGCCTACCTGTCATGTTAATAATCATATAGCAACAGGCCTACCTACATATTTATCCGTAGGCATATTAAAATTGCGTAAATTCTGTTAGTGATTGATTGATTGATTTGGGTTTCATTATTTGGTTGAAAGCAGGATGCTGTAAAATATAAGGAACAATGAGAGTAATATAAAGGCACATTATTCTTTCTAGGCCTAGGTCTAAGCCATGGAGGTATTATTGAGTATTGGTATTGTATTAATACCTCCATGGTCTAAGCTATATAGCCACATATGTATCGATGCTAGTCAGCTTTTCAACTTATAGTGTCAACATTGTATTTTCAGGAAAAGCCAAGAGCTGGGTTAAGTGCAGCGGAGACTATTATCGGATTCACATCTTTTCTGTGTACAGTCACCCTGTACCCAAATTGGTTCTTCAATCATGTCCCGGAATATAAGAGAAGAGACAACGATGACAATTCTGAATAGAAATATTAATGTGTTTGGTTGTTATCTAGAGTAATCATGAAAAAAGAAATTGTGAATGCATTGACATGAATATAAACAATAGACAAAATACTAAGATATAGTGCTCATTGTAGAAGAATAAAGACGTTATATACTGTATTAGCGTCAGACAAGTGTCGTGTGTTGCTTTGCAAATGGAATAAATTAACTTCAGATATCGACGCCCTCTTTAGGTAGAACAAACCAGCAAAAGTTAATAGGCTCCTCCCCCAAATCGTCGGAGCTACAGTCTAGAGTTACTCGCATTCATTTTAAATATAGCCCAATGTCACTTTATTCAAGGGGGTATTTCATTGTTTCAAATAGAGGATTTCATTCCATGAGGTATTTCCTGGTGTTGGCTGGAAATTAGCAAGAGTAAGATCATTCACAATTCCAGTCAAGATATTCCCTACCGGTACCTCTGGCCCAAAATTGTGACCCACCAATTAAATGAATAAAGTTCCAAAGCTCTTTCAAAGGAAATTCTCTAGCTTTGTTTAGAAAATTGTACAGTATTCTGGTCCGGAAAATACATATCCTATTTAAGCTGGTGCATTTTCTTTCACGAAAATGTTCCAATCCGAACCAACCCTTGCCAAATCACTGAGTGCATTTTCTTATACTGTAATAGGAAATGATTTATAATATATATATATATATCTGTCTCTTATACACATCTAGATGTGTATAAGAGACAGATATATACCCCTGAAGTATTTGGGATAATAATTAAATATTTTATATCCGAAAGTGAAGGATTGCCTCAGTTGAATAAACTGACTGTATACATAAACAAAACCAATTCCATAATATGCTTCAGTAAACATCAACAAGTGGTTGTTTTAATTTCATTTTGGCAAATTTCTCAAGGTGTTAATGAATGATTAATTGAAAGCATTAGGTCTAATAATAACATCCATTAAAACAAATCCTTCAAAACACTATTATTCAGCATATAAAATAAATCATTTGATTTGACATGCCTACTCTACTAGGCGTTAGCACCAATGACAGTTTATAACTTCCTGGAATTTTTTTCTGGATATCTTTCTAGTACTAAGACAGACACTAGCTTTTGATATCAGCAACTGTTTGATAAATCCCGGCCTATGACGACGAGTGGGAAGACCAGAAGATGCACACTTTCACTGATCTGTAGTACGTTGGTAAATCTAGATGTATGGCCTATTCTCTGGAAGTGGTTTAGGACGAGTGACCATCAGCCAAGCAGGAAGAGCACAGCAACCAACAGACATCAATACCAGCCCAGCAACAGAATCCTGGGAAAAGAAATGTACTAATTTGTATACTGTAAATCAATATTAATAATGCTTCATTCAAGTGAACTTATATTTATAATGTCCAGATTTATATGAAAGTATATATATTTTTATTTTATTAAACAGTAAACTAAGACGTGAAACAAGGATGCTTGTTTTGCTTACCTCATTCGCGGTTTGGTATACGTAACTTAGGAGGCCTATTCCATATACAGTAATTCATAGATATAATCATAATCCTATGATTATGAATTATACTTAGAGAATAGACCTAGGGGACTAGCCTAGTCATAAAAATCAGAAAGGATTTTATATAAAAACGCCACCGGCCAACGTGAATGGCACACCGCCTGTGAAACCACACCGTCTGCCCGATCATCATGCATGGCCATGTGCGGCATGAATCAATCAAAATCCACCCGTACCTGCCAAGACAGCGTTTTTAAAGGTGCTGTGGTTGATCTATTTCCTCTGTGTATCTGTCTCATAACACTGCCAACTTTAAGCAGACGAAAGAGTGTCATTTTAAAATTCTCTGATTGGAATAATATCGAATAATAGTGTAATACTGTACTGTCGAAACTTGATTTGGAAATCAGTGATAAAATGGCTACGTACGAGATCAAGAGTTGACGAGATGTATGTTCGCGTGCGTGCGTATCACGCCATCAATACAGAGGGCGATAGACATTTTTTGTGTAATGTCATGTATTGTACTGTAGTTATCTGGATAAATTACAACAAAAGCGTTTCCTGCATTATATCTGTATTAGCAACATAATCCATTAGGTTGAACTTAAACAAGTTTTAAACAAGTATATGGGCAAATGCATACTCAAAGGAAGGACACAAAACAATCTTTTTCTATACTATATTTTATATAATTATACACAAGTGCATTTTAACAAACAAGGGAAATATGAACAATAAGGGTACTTAACATACAGTATACTCTATACAAAAAAAAAACACATTCCGTCATTCAATGTAATGTAAATACTGTACTATATTTGTACTGTAATTACATATTTATTAGAATACTGTATTACAAACAGTGCATCAAATTATATATATATTTTTTATGCTCAAGAAAGTTGACACAAGAAATCCCTAAAAAGATAAATTACAGTATTACATTGAACAGCTCATTCAAAAGAGGATAAATTAAATTAATGATAGATGCATACCTATTTAGACCCATTGTTTACATATCCATGGTTCCAGACCAAAATTGCATATTCAGAAAATTATATGAAAGATAATTCATTAATGCACTTAGCATGTGTTGAATCCAAAATAAATTTGACCTATATGTTCTTGTTCAAATTGGCCATTGCCCTCGATTTAAATCACTCGTTGATGGCGCAGTCCCAAAGAAAGTAAATACTAATAAATAATAAGCGACTTCTGACCATTTTATACAGTACTAAAAAAATCCTACAGTACCAACCAATTAAAGATTAACGCAAAAAATATATTTGGAACAGTATTAAAATTTAAGGCTATTACTTGGCGAGAATATTTTTTTGAAAAATCAACGGAGTAGGCGATTTTTTCTACCTTGTTTAGTGAACTACAGTATATTTATGAAAAACCTCCAGAGGGTAGAAATCTTGCTCAATGTTTGAGTTCAGCCCTGTCCAGACTATCAAATTTTATGACAACAACATGTGTAAATATGGTCATGATGCCATCATATCATGATCATATATAGGCACATCATGATTATATATGGGCATGCAACAGCTTCCTGGTCTGAAAATTCTGATTCAGTGTGAATGCATCTTTAATACTACTTTTCATCATCCTTGATGTAATTTTTGCCCAATTAATTAAATTTAATTAATAAATATTTTGACTGAAAAGACATCAGATCAGACTTAGGCTCTGCCCACACTATCAAATTTTCTTTGACAAAAAACTGTTGTATGCCCATATATAGTCAAGATGTGCCCATAGTCAGGATGTGCCTATATATGGTCATAATGTGCCCATATATGGTCATGATGTGCCTATATATTTAGGCATGCACATATTTTAGTAAAATAAAATTTGATAGACTAGACAGGCTTTCTAGTGTATACTTTTTCTGAAGTGCTTTCCTAGGTTAACATTTCATACATCCAGCAATTGTACACAAAGAACATACAGCTAATGTCTATTGGCATGGTTTGAAATTGTTCAATCTTTAGGATCTCCAACTCCATCTTTCAAGATTGCAAACATCGCCTCTGATTCCGGTAAGCAAGGCGAGTCGTAGATTTTACAGATCCTTGTTTCGCCACGACCTTTCCTTAGATACAATCTAAAAAATTCAAACACAAATTGAAAATAAAAATCATGTTTACAGTAGTGAGTAATCATATACTTCTCAATCTCAGCATAAAGTCCATGAGAAAAATATGCCATTTTCAGAATGTGGAAGCAAACACTGAGATTTGGAAATAAGCATGTTAAAAACTAAGCCAAAGCCGCACTGAATGTAACACTGACCTTGTAGTCGAGGCATGAGCCATGATGTTGCCACCAATTGGTTTCTTAGGGTCAGCTGTAAACATGGCTGCACCATCCACCTGGGCTACCACTTGATTTGTTATCACTACGGCAACACCATACTGTAACCAAGCAAAACACATTTTGACTGGTCATTGCTTAAATCTGGCTGACACTCTGGAAGGTGCAATACACCCAGATTACAGATATGATTTACAGTTGGATTTACAACAGCCTGTGGTCATGTGATTATACCAATAAACTTGGTCATGTGACAACGACAAAATGGTCGTTTCGACATCTAAAAGCCCCCCAAAAAAGTATTGAAAATTAATTTCACTTTGATTGCTACAGGACCGAGTCAGACAATGATTTCAATGCAATCAATAATAATACAGTAAATATATACAAATAAAAATTTATTAAGCAAATGAATAGTTACCTCGTCAGCTAATCTTAGAAGTGTCCTAAGGAAACGTGCTAAGTGCATCTGTCTGGCTGCCAACTCACCACGTCCACTGTAGTCAGTCCTGTACAGAGCGGTGGCGCTGTCCACTATCAAAAGTGCATACCTACAAGGTAAAACAACAGGAATTAATGCATCAAAATAAGCAATCACTTTTCCAGTTATGCTATCTGGTAAAATCTGGAAAACTAAAAATATTGATTTGCTCATTTATAAAGAAAAAAAAAAATTATTTATTTTTTTTATTTATTAGACATTTCTCAGGCATACAAGCAACCAAAAAATAAATAAAATGATCAGGTCTTAATGAGACAGACCAAGGAATTCAGTTATTGCTCATTTTAATTACCTAGACTCTGACATCATGGCTGCGGCCTGCATCAATAATTGTGTCTGATGATCACTGTTATATGCTCTAGCATAGGCCACGTTGTCCAAGACATCACTACCATTTAGATTATACCTAAATATAAATACGGTATAAGGAAATGTAAAAATATACATTAACCAAAATATTTGTTTGAAGGCAATTATGCATATGGGATCAACAACTAAAGGCCAACTCAGACAGCGTCGGCCGACGCAGCCCGACCCGATTTATCGTCGGGGACAGTCTTAAGCCGTCGTGAGAAATATTAAACACGTTTAATATTCTACTACGCGACTGCCCCCGACGCACACCATCGCGTCTGCGTTCAACTCACACAGACCCGACGCGACAACAAATCGCGTCGGGCTGCGTCGGCCGACGCTGTCGGAGTTGGCCTTTACATCCCACAAAAAAAGAAATATTTGTGGAAAAGCGTTTCATAGATACAAAAGGTAAAATGAATACAAAAGGAAAAATAGGAACAAAAAGGATATATATATATATATATATATATATATATATATATATATATATATAATGTACAACAAAGATAATTCAACACCATCATTAGGCTACATCTAATTTATGTTAAGTACACTAACAACCTGTCAAGCATTCTATTTACCTCTCTGCTACTGCTATTAACCTCTCTGGCCTAAATGTACCCTCAGTATCAATATACAGGCATTTACCCTCTCCACCACCATTATCAATTGGTAACTGAAATAATAAAAAATCATAGCTTGCATGAAAGGTAATGATTTTACTAGAGTAATAATTAAACCTAAATTGACTGTGGATAATTTTAAAACGTCAAACTATTTTTAATTCTACTTTTTTAAATATACTTTCAAACGATAACTTTAGCTAATATCACAAATCATATAAAATCAATGTCTATAATAGTTTAAATGTGATATATCACATTACAGAGTTATATAATTAAAACTTTTTAAAAACTTCTTAAAAATCATTTTTACCATCATCATGATAATCATGATTCTTATAATAATTTCTAACCTGACATGTGACAGCCATTGTGTGACAGAGCTGAGTTTTTCCTGTCCTAAATTCACCAAAGATTTCAGTTATTGAGCCGGTTTCAATTCCACCTATAAACAAAAATACAAGAAAAAAAAAATGAGAGTATCTTTATTGCCATTTAGGATGAGGATGGGGTCTCTGCCCTATAGCACCCAAAGAATCAACATTGAGTGACGAAACTAGTAATAAAGTAAGTTAGTGGCTGGAAGAATTGAGTAGATGAGAACCTTTGGCTGGGGCAGTTGAAAACCACTTGAAGATGATTAACATTTTCATTTGCCTGTGTTACAAATGTACTGAGTCAGTATAATTGAAGAGCATTTTATTAAAAAGATGAAAACAATTTTTAAGGCAAGATTAGACAGTTACCTTGTAATAATTTATCTAATTCCTTTGATCCTGTTGTAACTTGAATGATTTCAGACCTTTGCTGGTGGAACTGTGTTGCTGTTGTGAAACCCATGGGTACTAATTTCATTGCTTCATTCTAGAATGAATATAATGTAATTTTATCAATACAACTTAATAATGTAATAAATAAGGCAAACAGATCTACTGTATGTACAATTACCAACACAAGAATACAGAAAAGTGAATGCTATTTACAATTCAACACCCTTCATTACATTTTTTCTTGTTGATGGTTTAGCTGACTTGTTCAAGTAAAGGAGTTGTTGTTGCTAATAAGTATTCAGGGACTAGTTAGGCGATGCTTGTTGTCGCTAATTTAGTATAAAAAAACAGTCTGTGGTAGCATGTAGATAGAAGTATTAATAATAAATATAGCCTTTGAATTGAACGGATGCACAACATTATAGTTACCTTTATTTTTTCTGCTTTGGCTTCACTTATTCCCTTCACATTACAAAGTTCTTTTTTTGTGGCGTATGCAACTGCTTCTACTGTGTGGTAACCATGATCTTCTAATTTTTTTACATCATTACTGCTGATACCATTGGCCTAATTAAATAACAAAATTAGTTTACCATTTAACAATTCACTTTGCATGCTTTCCTAAAGTAACTAGGCCTGGTAGTAGTATCTGTAGGCCTAGTAATGGTAAAATAACCTATTTTTAATTTATTTACTGTTGTGTTGGTTGATTGAGTTTACCGATAAAACACTGTTTTTTACCTCCAATCTTCCAATAGATAATGGACCAAAATCCTCTTGTATTTCTTCCTGTTGCTGTTCTACCTGCATTGCCATTATCTAGAAATCAAATAAACATTAGAATATACAGTAGTTGTAACTTCCTAGCCTGGCCTGGGACTAGGAGTCAGTTTACAGACAGGTCCAGACTGGGTAAAATCATTCAGCAGTAACAACCACGTCTTTCATCAACAAATGAAGCTAGGACTAGGCTAGGCTAAGTTTCAACGGTCGGTAGCTAGTTTCTTACTTACCAAAGTTTAGTTAACTGATCAGAATATTAATTAGTACTGTCTTAAGTAGTGTAATTTTCTTTCTAGGATGGGAGTTTGTTCAATTTTCAGTAATAAATCTGTATTTGCCAATGTACAATACAGGGTATTTTGATTTCTTCGGTCGAATGAAATTGCGCAGTTTCAGAGTAGCGCGCCAGACAATGGTCTATTCCATTTATTTATTTATTCGGTAAGTATATTTTAATAGCATTAGAAACAGGTGAAAATTAAACAATTGACATAATGCCAACATTCATGGAAACCTTAAGTAAAATTAATTATTTTGAAAAGATAAATATATTATAAAATATATTAAATATATACGTTATTATTAAAATAAATATTAATATTCCCGTCGAAGAATGAGTACGCCAAGGTAAATTCACATAAAACAAGTACATTATACGGATCAGAACGATCTTTGTATTATAAATTGTAATCAAGTTTCGTCTATAGAACATTCTCTTTACTGTACACACATCACATGAGCTGCACTCGTGTATCTTGTTATTTATTTTAAGAGTATTATACTATTAATGTTTTGTTACCATGACTGGCTCTCATATTAAAGGTTTATTATTAGACCTTGATAACACTCTTGTTGACACAAAAGGAGCAGACGTTAACGCATATTCAAAGGTGAGGTACCGTAAAAGTGCTGCAGGGCCGTTAGCGCGTAGCTAACTCAGCTGGCCGAGCCGAGCGAGTGTAGGCTGCCACTGCCGAGCCGGCTAAGCAGAGCATGTCTAGGGCCTACCATCGAACCGAACGTCAAGATAAGCATCACTGCTATCCCTTCCACCTGGCGCCTAGCTTATTTTATAGGCAGTGGCTATCTATTGTTACACCTGTCTTCCTTTATAATTCACTGCACTGGGCCCCAGTGCAGTGAGTGAATTGTTAGGATTGGATTAGGTTAGGGAAATAATTAGCCAATCAAAATTTGTTTTTTTTTTTTAAAGACTGGTGTACACCAATAGCAAACTGTCTATTTTGTAAGCAATGAAAAATTGCAAACTGTTGAAAAATATTGATTCAGAATAAAAGTTTTTCTTTTCTTTTTTCCAGGTTGAACATTATCTGTCCACCAACTGCAAAAACTGTGATCCTAAAGCAGTAATTAAACATTTCCAAAAGTTATTAAAAGAAAAGGAAATTGATCCAGATGGTATCAAGTCAGCAGATGATTGGAGAACCAGTCTATGGCAGACCGCTTTGAGTGACAATGCCTGTCAAAAAACATCGTCCGAGATCTACCAGTTATGGAAGGACACCAGAATTGAGGGAATCTTTTTTACCGAAGAAGTGCAATCTCTCCTGAAGCAGTTGAGATCAGAATACAAGCTGCTCCTTTTAACAAATGGAGACTCTGTCATCCAGCGAGCAAAGATAAAGCAATGCCGTGCAGAAGAATATTTTGAAAGCATCGTGATCAGTGGTGATGAACCACATCCTAAGCCCCATCCGTCCATTTTTGAGAAATCATTTAAAATGTTGTCCGTCTTCCCTGATGAGTGTGTAATGATTGGAGATAGTCTTGCTACTGATATTCAAGGTGGAATTAATTCAAATTGTCGTGCAACTGTCTTCGTCAATCCAGGTGGACAACCACCTGTGAATTCAACTTGTCCCAAGCCTCACTACACAATTGAAAGTATACTAGAATTACCTCGCATATTAGATGAGATTGCAGACAAACATTAATCTTTATTATGTAATGAAAAATAATTTTGTTTTAATATAAGTTTTCCATAGTTTTAATTATGTCTATTAAAGTTTAATATAAGTTTTCCATAGTTTTAATTATGTCTATTAAAAAACTTTAATTTTTTTTAGCACAATTTGTTGAAAAAAATATGAAATATCTAATAAAAGAAAAAAACATTGATCATTATCAGCATGTTTGTACAAGAGTAGATGGATGGTCTACTAAAATTTGGTCTTTAGTTACTATCTCCTTAATACGATTATGGCTTTACCAACATTTGTCTCTCCACATCCAGGGGCTTACTTGGTAGAATGTTGTGGCTTTGAATATCTGAATATAGATTAATCATGAATCTCCTGTAATGGGTTATGTGAGGTATATATGTGTATAATAATAATGTGCTGTTTTAGCATATTGTGCAATAAGCTGTTTCATCAGGTTTTAAAAATGTAGATGCGAAATATTTTTATAATTGTTGTAATAAGTAAAATTCCACTATATATTTTCTGATCATTAATAATAAATTATTGAGTCAAATGCCAACTTTCATTAACATTCTTTTTGTATGCCAAAATGAATACAGTACAGAACAGAGAAAACACAAACCAATCACAGAGAAAATACCAGACACCTTATGATGTATTTAATGAATATTTCATCAAATCTTATGAATCATTTAAGAATGTCTGTCTCTTGATGGATATGCTGTGCTATGGAAAGGGCTCTAAAACCCATTCTTAATATAATCCAGTACTAAAAAAAGCACGTGAACACATTCTCAACTAAGTTTGACAACTTTGATTATTGTCATATTTTGCCGTTAAAAATTCCTATTACCGATATACAGGTTTTTGGGCCAAACTGCATCCTATAATTTAGACAAGAACTCACCATTGTCGACATTATGTGACATTACAGTTGTCATGCAATCCAAAGGTATTACCTGAATGGGTACGGTATCAATGCATACCAGTACCTGAGGTCCCTTTATCTGAATGGCTTCGGGATCAATGCATACCAGTACCTGAGGTCCCTTTACCTGAATGGCTTCGGGTTCAATGCATACCAGTACCTGATAAAAGTGTGTACTGTATCTCCAAGTGGGATTCAATACATAATGTGCTTATGAAACCATGATATAAAAAATGTGAATATTTGTGCCACAAATCTTTATATAATGGAACATCAGATTAAAAAATGACAATACAGCTGTAATAAAAATATTAATCTATTTTCATTATTGTAATATTATTATTAACAATTGTTTACTGTAGAACATGTTTATTGTGATGTTTTGTATTATATGTTATTTATTTCAGTTGTGATTATTTGTTTTATAGTTTAGACACTTGTAACGAAAACCTGTTTTAAATATAAAAAATAGGGACGATATTGCTGTAATAACAATATTAATATAATTATAATATTATATTAATATCATCATCATTTTTAATTAATTCTATTACGTTTGTTATTACAATTGAAACCTAATGCACCAGGAATAGTTCCTGGAACATTCGTCATCTGTCAGGTGACCTAAGGCCACTTAGAAAAATGGTTTATCCTTCTGCCACAGTTCGTACACGGTATCTTCGTAATCCGCAGTGAATCGTTGGATGAATGAATTTATCAAGCCCTCCGCTGATGCTTCATACACGCAGAGCTCAACTGAATCACCTGAAAATTAAGTAATATTATTTAGTAATATGGCTGTATTATTCAAGATTGAATAAAAAAATTTCAAAAGAATGAAATTACAGTATTTGTAAAAATATTGAAATAATAGTAATAAGAATTATATTAATGTAATATTAATCTAGATTTGATTTATTGTGTGTATGTCTGTGGGTGTGTTTGTGAAAATGCATATGCGCTCTGCATGTGTACTAGCATTTGACTAGCTGATTGACATACCTTCACTCAATTTGGTGTTGACCTGTACGAACATCCTACGTGGCTGTTTCCTTGACAACACCACAGTACGTAAGCTGTAAAACTTCTCAGCAGTGTCATCGTTGACAGCTGAGTACCGTCCATAAAATGCCTTGGCACCTGCTAAGTCTGCAGTAGACTTGTAAACCTAAAAGAAAATCTCATATTATCCAAAGGGGAATTCTTACAACATCCTGACATACGTGCAAATATGGCAGGGCTATTATACAGTAATTATTTTAATATTAGAAAGATATAAAAATCATTTTAATATTATGCATACCATATGTACCACAATATTATTATTAAATTTTTACCAAAAGTACCTGAAGATTTCTAAGGAAAGTTCCAATTGCCTCCTTGCCAACTGTTTCGATCTTACTGCGATCTAGCGTGATAATTGCATCTGGTTGCCCGTCGTCCCCAGTTGTCCAGGTGACGGTCACTAGTCCCTGACCTGCTTCCAGTAGAACACGCAAAATCACATAACGAGCTTGCATGTGGGCCTAGATGAGATAGCCAGACAATATGTTATAGTACAGTATTACTCCATATTTGGTAGATTGTAAGAGCTGGAATGGACAAATAACAAATCGGCAAAAAACCCTGCATCAATGGTGGTGCCACGGACAAGCATGGACCAGTTGTCATCAGACTTGAGCTCTCCGACTACAAATATTAATTTACCGATTCAACTAAAGTTATTGTGATTTTTAGATTATTATATGAAAGCATAATTTTTGTCAATCTAAACCATAAAATCTCTCCTGCTTGACCCCCATCAGTTAATCTGGGTCCTGACCAACCCTGAATCCCCGTCAGACATGTCTGACACCCGTCAGCAGATCTCTGGCGCCACCACTGCTCAGTGAAAAGTACAATGTCACACAAACCTGTCTCCAAGAATCAGTTTCTGGTGTGTAGAACTCCAAACCCAAGAGGCCAGCTCGTACCATATTCAACCAATTGATGTACAAAATGTCATCAGCGCCCTCGCCTTCATGTCCAAATATCCTTGAATAAAAAGAAAACAATGAATCAGGGGTAGTGAAAAGAAAATGCATAAATGTGTGGAAGAAGGGCAGTGGTGATGGCATCGTAATTAGGATTTGAAAAATAAATAGGAATTTGGCCAGTTTCAGAATCCATTCTAGTAGCATATTTATGGCAGTCTGAAACTGAAAAGGGAATATATTCTCCAATGCTCACCTTTCAATCTGTAAATTGGTAGGTTGGTAGGTATGTAAGAAAGTAAGGGGGAAGTATGCAAAGACATAGTATAAAAGGTAGACCTAGGTAGGTGGGTGGAAAGGAATCTTTAAAATTAGATACAGGTAGTCAGAGATATAGGTAAGAAAGTATATAGGTAAGAAATTAAGTAGCTCTCAATAACAGTAGGCCGACACTGTATGTATGTATGTCTGTATTAAATTAACTATTAATGAAGCAGTTCTGTATACAAGATTTGTATTTTACTACTGTGACAGTATTTTGTTTCCTTGTTTGTATTATATCAAAACAAAGCTAGACAATTCTATTTTCTCTCAAGCAAATGATAATTAAGATGATTATAATGATGCTAATGATGATGAAGAAAATGAAATTATAATTTCCTAGTAGCTACTCACTTGAGTATATCCCTATTAAGACAAAGGTATAACCCAACACATTCAGCTCTGCACTCTTCATATGTGGACGCCATGGTTGAGAATTTACTGTCCCATGTCTCCCCCTCCTGGTACCATGTAGCAATCTGTGATCAACACAAATATTAATTAGATTTTTAAAATGTGATGGTTTCCAAAGTAACGGTGCTGTTATTATTCATAATATATTTGTATGCAAAACATGCTCTTTATACTTTACTATCCAATGGAGTGTCAATCAGACTTAACAAATAACCAATCAGAACAGAGCCTGGAGTAAGCGTTTGTCCATAAATGCAAACGCAGTCTCAAAATCACATATGTTTACATACGTTTACAGTCTCACTTTTTGTGACCTTAGCAACAATTTCCAGCCCCGGGGAGCTCACTTGTATACCAACCTTACAGAGAGGTGCAGCAGCCACTCCAAGACACTTGTGCTACTTCTTTTACGGAAAATTATTAGAAACTTGAACTACCATTTACCAAAATCTGGTGTCGGCTGAACTACTATTACAGCCATGTAACCTACCAAATTAAACTTGCACGAGTTAACGATGGCGAATAAGACCGCGGTTCTGTCTGTTCGCATTCCATACTGTTCGTGGCTATGTATCAACAGTAGGTTTAGAGGTTTAGCACGAAGGTTAGCAAAAAATCTTCGCTAAAATTGTGTGAAAAATTATGCTACTTTGATACGGGACAGAGCAGGAACTTTAGCTACCAATTTCACCTAGTTATTTCCCACACTTCCAAGTCTTTGCAAATATACCCTATACATGCTGAAACTCTTCCATAAATTCCCACACTTGTGCTACCAAGTCCTCAAAATACCCCTGTAAATGCGGTGCCTACCTGTATAGAAATATTTAGGAGTGAGCCCCCAGATATTCAGCGCAAGGTCCAATGATTTAAATTTAATATTAATCAATCTTATTTATTAAAATACCTTTTCTCCAGTGATAAGATTCTTGACCTCTGGGTCATAGTTGAAGGAGCCATCCTTATTTTTTATAAACAGCTTGCCGCTTCCATGACCTAGGAGCTCATGAAGACCAACCTGGACTTCAAATGCTGGAGACTTGAGTTTAGCAAATAGTTTCTAGAATTAAAAACAAAATGGAATACAACATAATTGATGTGATCTCACCAAACCCTTTTCGTTTGGAATAGACCTTTTAAAAATATAAAGTTCTTTTAATGTGCATGTACAAGGAGTATTTTTACTTTGAAAATATAGGAGTGGAATAATCTAAAACCTTGAATAGAAGCCCTGGCCTTCATCTTCCTTTGAGGACCCTTGGATGGGCCTCTTTTCATATCGGGCCTCTTTCGAGATGGGCTTCTTTTCGAGATTAATTTTGCAAACTGAAGAGGAGGGCTTCTTTTCAAAAAACATGCTATGAATTTTTTAGTTGCTACTATATGACATTTTTCAACAATAGAATTCACAATTTTGTGTAATATTTTTTTAAATTTTCACCATGGTAGTAAAATGAAATAATATTGATACTGACACACTATCATAATAATGAAAGATAATGTCAGTATGAATGTAAGTACTACCTCGAAAAAAAACCATATTATCCTGATAGGAAGCCCATGGGCTTCTTCTCAAGATGGGCTTCTTTTTGAGATAACTTCTGCAAACTAAATAGAGGGGGCTTCTTTTCGAGATGGGCTTCTTCTGAAGATTAAACCCATGGGGCTTCTATTCGCAGTTTACGGTAATAACTGAATACACTGCCAAGCACAACCCACCTTATCCGACTCATTAAGGAAAGTAATTTTATCTCCTTTGCTATGCGCTGATAACACGTTGCCTAGTGATACATTCTTGAAACCATCATTTTGTCGAATATCATCATCTAATTAGAAAAAAAAAACCATTGATCATGAATCCGACCATAGACTCAGCACTGGCAACAAAAAAATCTGTTTACTGCCTGCTGTCAGCATTATACTCTCTAATTGATCTTTTTATTCAGTCTTTTTTAAGCTGCGCACACATTGCATTGTACAAGTCGTATGACCACTGACCATTAGACAAAGTCAGTCTTTTTTAAGCTGCGCACACATTGCGTTGTACAATAGTCGTATGACCACTGACCATTCAAATCCAGCTCCACTCCTTGTGAGAGCTAGATCACGCAACGTTCTTTGATGATTATTCCTTAAAAAGTAATCATTTAAAAAGAGCTGTTGTGCATTAAGTTCTCTGTAGAACCATGTCGGCCAACAACTGTCAGACGCAATCAGTTCTCGGCTTTAAAGATACATTCCAGAGCAGTGACTTACAGTTCGGTATGTTGATGCCTGCGGGAATTCCACTCGAAGCAAAGGATAAAACTTCCAAAGAGGTGAAATCGGGTTTCAAGAACTGGTTCTTTTCATAGTCTTTGGTCCATGGTAGTAGAGGAAGCAAAGTCTCTGATCGGTCCACTAAATTTGAAAACTTGGCACTCATCTCCTTGTTGACCATTGACACAAGACCTTATTTCATAAAAACAGATTATAATTATATATATCATCATAAATGTCAGTATATCATAAAAAAAATTCACTTTATTCAATAAAATGAAAAGTATCATATCATGTAATATATAAATGTGGAATATACATAGATACCTTCCCATTCGCCCCTCACTCCATAGGGATCACGGTAGCTTTCGATGAACCCAATGTAGCTGTAAAACAGAACAATATTTTTATAATTCCAAAAACTAAGCATGCAAAATGTTTGCAAGGATTACATGTTATGAGTAATATTTGCATACTTCTGGAAAGCTGACATAGTGTTTAAAGTTTAGGTCTTCAAGTTGGGGTTGTACGTTGTACATAGTACATAGTAAATGATTTCTTACTTTTCTACTATTGGTCCCTTGTCTTTTATCCAGTTTCTTGAGGCGTCTTTGTGAGCATCTATTGAGCCGGTTGTGAAACTATTGACATAGCCTTCCAACATTTTAACCTGATGCTCATTAGCTGCATATTCCTACAAATATTTACATGGAAATACATGGAATTTAAATATTATAGAGTACAAGAAAAACTAACTACAGTGATACTCATGGCTTAAATGAATCAACCAATTAATAAATATGTAAATAAATGATTAGAATGAATGTAACTATAAAGATATAAATAAAATAGAATTATATTTACTATAATAATATTGGATAAACTAAACCGATAATGCGCATTATGCTGAAAACAGGCCAGAGAATTGTACTGTTTTTAGCATGTAATTAGTATTAACTTTTTATATAAATTATAAAACAATAACCAAAAATGACACAAATATGAGGATGTAATCCAATCAGTGATCAGCTAACCAGCAAGGCCTGCCCTTTACTAACAGTTTAAGGACAACAATTAAACAATTATTACTCCTTTGGTAGGAAAAATGTAAAAACTCTTCTTTCACCTTTGCCTTTGATAAACTGTCTGCGACTTTTGCCATCAGAGGTGCGTAATCACCTTGGGTCACAGCAAAATTAACGCCATTGAATTCAAAATTCCCAAATGGATTTCCTTCACCTGATAAAAAAAATATAAAATAACTTTTGCTCTGGGTAGGAATAAGTGGATATATTTTTTTATTTTGTTTTCTAACAATTGATAGAGGGGAAAAATTGTAAGAGTTCTAATTATTAACTAACTTGCAACCTCAGCAGATGCCAGTCTGACTTCATAGCTTGCTTTCTTGTCGTCTCCAATGGTCTTAAATAAGCGAGTGTTATATGGGCTTATGTTCTGAAAAAAAAAATGCTTATTAGTTAAAAATATGTAACACTTATTGGTGGAATAATTGAATGGAACTTCTATAAATTAGAGAATTAATAGTACTCTAAATTTGCATCAAGCTTCATCAAATAAATATACAAGTTTTACACAATACATAATTCCCAACCTTTTCGCCCATAAACTTCTGGGCCAGCTCAGCATCCTCCATGGTGCAGTTTCTTGAGAAGTATGTTGTAATACCCTAAAAAGGTCAAAAGGGTCAAGGGTCAAGGATATACATATTTTTAAATAAAGTAAAAATATAAGCAATTAAGAAATACATTCACTAAAATAAATAATAATACATTATTGCATATTATGTAAAATACTCAATGGCAGTGCCAGAAGGGGGAGGGGAAGAAGGGAATGGAAATTCCTTTTGTCATCTGACACTACTTGAGGTCACCATACCAGATTAATTTACCGATCCAAACATTTTACTGTGATATCTCTTAATAATTTGGTCTAAAAGCACACTCTTCACTATATTAAACCATCTATCCCCTAGAACACATGGCACCATCTGTTTTACTCCAGTAAAGTCACCAGGGTCCTAGACAGCTCATTGCTTCTAAACCCCATGTTAGACTTATAAGACCCTGGCTTTCTGGATTCGGAACCTGATTGGAACAATTAGTTTTTCACAAAGAATAAATTCACCAAAAAACATAGATGGTATATTATAAGTTAAGTTGCAAATATTCATTACTTTATCTCCAAGTCCAAATTGTTTTTCCTTATTCTCTAGGGAATACATGGCATCCCCGCAAACATTCCAAAGCTTTTCCACACCAGTTGCATCCTTTGCATATGCAGCGCTTGTCCATACAATTTTCTTAAATGTTTCCTTTGAATAGAAAAAATAAAGGTTTAATTGGAAAATGTGATAATGAAAATTGTTGGTCATGTTTAATGCACACTTCTAGGTTCCTGCATACTTTACCTTTGGTAGATTTGGTAAAAACTTTGTGTCACCGAATGACTTGTAGTTGCCAAGGTTACCATAGAAGGCAGCAGCGTATGTTAGGAAAGACTACAAAGAAAATAAGTATTAAATGCTAAATATATAATTCACATAATCAAAAATTTAAAACCATTAAACTAGAATGTACATGTCATGGTGGAACAAGTATGTCATCAACAAATAATTTAAATTAATTAGCTCAATCAATATGGAAAACAATAACAATAAAAATGTAAATGACCCAAAAATTTACTCAATCCAGTGCTATTCATATTGGACATACAATTATAATTAAATTCCTTTGGTTTCCCAGTTTCAAATTATGAAGACCGAACATTACAAACTAAACACTGCAACAACATTTGTCTTCTTTGAATAATGGTTGGTAGGTATTTTACCTGCCAATCATCTAGGGACACTTCAGACTTCAAAGCAGCTTCTTCAAATTCTTTAACAGGTTGAGCCCTGAACAACTTCTGCAGAAGGACGAATATGACTGGAGACTCGGGCGAACACTGTAGAAGACATATCAAACCACCGTTCCACGACGCTCTGGAGAGATAATGTGCATATTTCTTCTCCTTTTCAGTAAGGTTTGCAAACGCCGACTTGCAATCAAGATTTACAATTGGTACAGTGTTTGGGATGAGAAACTGTGAATCCGTCATTTTCCTTCTTAATCCCAGAGGTCCAAGCAAGCAAACTAAATAAATGGCTTGATTGAATGAATGATGAATACCCGTCAGTCGCACGCTTCTTCAGACTCAGTTTGTCGCGCGTTGCACTTACAAAAGGGGTGCTTAAATACTAAATTGGACGAAATCCCTTCATATAAGATTCAATAAAATATAAAGGATAAACTACGTCTGTGATTTCAAGAATCAGGGTGTGATTTTTTCAAGTATTGTTAAAAATAGAACCGGCTGGAATTTCTACTTTTTGTGTGAAAGTGTACTGCTGCCACTGCTCTTGCATGTTGTGGTCGGTAAAGTTAGAGATCAGATCCAATAGAAACACTGTGTGATAAAAAGTATACAAACACACTCAAGGGATGCGAGGTCAATTTACTTGAACTTTGACTTCACACAATTGGGAATCACCAGCGCGAAGGAGGAGGCAGAATGGGAAATATCGTCTTAAAAAAATCGGTAAAAATGCACATTTTGGTTGTTTTTATTGTGATATCTTGCGTGACATTTGATAACGCAAAAGGAATGCATATCATTGGTACCTGGAACAGCGTCAGATTTTCTAGCTTGTTGGCGAAATTCAGTTTTAACACAGTTGAAAAAGACACAGATGTCGACGGAGGAGGTTATGTTTACGGAAATGTCACACTGCGGTGGGATGGCCCTGCTCATAAAGATCAGATTTTACCTAGCTATTCTCTGATGTTGCTAGATAATGATGCGTTTCCTTCATATGACGACGTTTTGTCAAAGCAATCCTTCGACTCATGTTCGGAAATATTCGATGTATTGGTAGATAAAACAAATTATAAAGCAATTAACAAGTGCAATCCGACAAATATGGGCAAATACACCAGAGAAGTCCCATGTCCTGTTGACCAAATTTGCCCCACTGACAATGAAAGTGACTTGGTACAAGATTCTCAATTTACCTTCAAAGTGTTAGATAAGAAACCCAGGTAAATTGCTTTATTTAAGTTTACATTGTGTAAACTACTGTATTTTGTAAAATAAATATACATTTAATTTACTTTTTATGTTTTTAGGCTAGAGTTGTAAATTTTCATTTTTTTCATTTATTATACACAATAATTTATTTATATACATTAATATTATTTATAAGAGACACATTAATAAAATTAATAAATAACTCAACTGGTAATGAAATTAGAAGATGCTGGCATCACTCAAGCATCTGTGAATTATGAGCAGGCTGGCCTATGCGCCTTAAATTGCAGGCGACCGATGTGGCTATGACTAGTTCCCAGCATAGGTTGCTTCCTGTTATCATTATCAAAGTTTAGATAGGAACAATTTCATGGTTTATATTTTTTATGTTCTACATACGCGGTAACATTTATTTTTATATTTTAAGGGAGTGATCTAGGTCTACTATATCTTGGAATAGTGATTTGGTTTACAGTAGTATAGTAGTCTATTAATACAGTACTGTATTGTAAAAATGACTTTAAAAAAGAATACTAATGTCTATACTTGATGAGTACTATAATACTACCACATTTTTATGCAAATTGTAGTAAATCCCACTCTCAGGCTCTAGGTATGTATCATATATTTTAAACTTTTGTTTATATAGATACTGGTTCCTAACTTTGCTTGCATGTTACCCATACGACAACCAGTCAGCATCCAGGAACTGCACCTGGGCCCAATCGTCACCTGATACCGTTGTTGACTACAACATCTGGCTTATAAACGGCTATCCAAATGGCAGCTTCAATTTCAACCCTTTCAAGTTCCAGTTCTCTTACGAACAACAAACTCTCTTGCAAATGTTCATGGTGTTTGCATTCCTCTACACAATCTTATTCCCTGCTCAGATAACAGCTCAGTGCGGACAGTCACATCCACTCGTTAAGCTCCTCACGCTCTGTCTATTCCTGGAGTACATTGGTGTCGTCTGCTACTTCATTCATTACGTGCTTTACGCGGTCAACGGCGCAGGCATGACATGGCTGGAACATCTTGGACAGCTTTTTCAAGTGGCGATGCAGTGCTGTTTCATGCTTCTGCTCCTGTTGTTGGCCAAGGGATGGACTATTACTAGAACCGATATTCATCAGAAGAAGCTGGTGTTAGGTGTGTGGGCTATGTACTCCATCTTCTATGTGTTTCTCTACTTTTGGCAAATGGTAAGCATAAACAATTATAATATTAATGTACTGTATCATATTATGAATTAGTTTGATATGATTTGATCTTGGAAAGCAGCTGCAGTGCTATTCTAACATTATAATCATAAAGTATAACAAAATATTTTAGTAGTGGCACATGAAACATGTACTTATGGTTTTCCTTTTTGGTTAATTTTAGGATAGTCTGGTCTTGTTTTTTCTCTGTTCTTTGAGTCTCCTGCATCATTTTTTCTGCTTTCTTTTACATTCATCTCATCTTGTGTTTACTCGGGCATTGCGCTTATAAACCTTGTTTATTTGAACCTATTATTATTTTTTTATTTTTTTTTTATTTTTTTATTTTTTTATTTTTTAATAATGATGATAACAATGATGATTGGTAATACTCATAAGTATTGACAATGATACTGACAATTTAAATAAATAATATTACAATAATAGTAGTAATAATTGTTGAATTATTATTATTTTAATAATTTGCTAAATTAAAGGGAAAGTTTTTGTGAATTATCTCTTTAATTCATAAAATGATGCAAGGCACATCCTTTAATTTCTGTTCACACTTTACAATTTTATGTAATAATTTGCCATGGATGTGTCACTTTTAAGTTGATAGTGTGGACAGATTTTACAATAAGAATGAATTCAAAGCCGGGCTTCTGAGGGAAACAATTTGTTGATATGTTCTACAACTGATTTTTCTAAAACACGAAAAGCATATTTAATGAAAAACTTGGGGACAGTCATTGAGATACAAATTTTTGAGTATTTGAAAACTGGGGGAAGAAGGTGGAAGAAAGTTTGGTTACGCCCCTTTTGTCCCCCAGTTTTAAATATTCAAAAATCTGTATCTCGAAGTTGTTTCCGAGTTTTTCGTCAAATGTGCTTTTTGTGCCTTAGAAAAATCAGTGGTACAACATCAAAAATATGTTTTCCTCAGGAGCCTGACTTTAACACACGTAAAACGTTCTAGATACTTATTATCTAGACCAGTACTAAGCTTAATTAACTGATATCACAAATACTTGATTGATGCTGTCAAATAAATGTGCTGCACATGATCTAGGTTCACTTTAATTTAGCATTTTCAATTTCAGATCCTTCATGTTTTTGATTACTAATATTTGTAGGACATAAGAAATGTCAATTTATTATTTTTGTAGCTTAAAATACATCATGATAAGTCTAAAGTTGTCCCATGGAATTATTTTAAATGCTCATTTTTTTGATAGAAAAAAATAATGTCATTTATATTTTATACATGCCTGTAAAACAAGTTCCAGTTCAGTAATTTACTGCTCAGTGCTATTGCTTGTTATGTGCATTATTGATTTTTGAATAAAAGTATTATTTATACATATGTATACAGAAAGTCGAAGAAAGGAAATTTATTGAATGAAAGATCCAATTAAATATGGAAGTTAAAAAAAACCATGGCTTGGGACAGGAAGCTGCCAATTTTTGTAGTCTGGGTCTAGGAGCTGAAGCCCTGGAATAAAATTAAACAGTTCTGATGCTGAATTACACTAATTTAAGATAATTTCTGTATGTTCTCTATACAGGTACAGTACCTGCTTAACTTAAATAAAATTTAAACCATTAAAATAATTTTTATTTTACAGTTAATGATCAGTTTGGTGTCTGATGTCACCGAATACCAAACCTTTGCTGGTGCTATTGTACTAGCCCTTCGTCTCGTCATTCTCATCTGGTTCCTGTATGAACTTCACACCACCAGGCTGCAAGAAAGTGCTGAGCCCAAACTCAAGTTCTACAAGTACTTTGGTATAGGCTACTTTGTCTGGTTCATTCACCTACCGATCCTCGTAATCATCGCCGCTCTCATATCGCCTCAGTACAGACTCAAGGCTTTAACCGGTATGTCCTTAATGTTTATTACTTTTTTAAACACCTATTTAACTTTTGAAAAATAATTAGATATTTATATACCATTTTTAAAATAATGTTTGAATGTATATATATCATATCCAGTGGCGGTTCCAGGAATTTTCGAAATAGAAATTTCAACTTAAATATAATTTTTTTTCTTGATTTGTTTTTATAATTTTGAAAAATTTAGGGGGGAACCCCCTCCTTGATTCCGCCACTGATATCAGATTAAATTAATCGTTCTATTCCATGAAAAAAATGTAAATTGTACGGCAGATGTAGAAAAATATTTTATTCTGCTCAATTTCGCTGTGCAATTTTAGTTAGATAAACTGCGCTGCCATGACAGAATCATATTACACTCTGTGCAAATCACAAATTCTGTACCTGTCAAATTTGTGTGGACAGAGTCTTACAGCCTATAGCATTAGCAATTTGCATACATCAAGGCATTTTGTTTTAAAGCAGTCATTTCACAATTCATAACCACACATCATTTATAACATCTCCATTCATTATACAAGAAATGAATCTTTATGAGAGTAATGGAATAAAGAAATTCATAATTTGAATATTGGTATGTATAGCCAAGTTGAATAGAACATTAGTTTTTTTTCACCAAATGAAAATATTCTATCCCATCCTTATCATCATGTCCATATATGGGTAATCACAGATATTTATAAAAGAAAATGTAATAGTGACAGGGCATACTTAATATACAGTCTTGCATATTAATTTAATGAGTCTATGTGTTACGTCATAGGCAATTATAGATGAGAAGTTTAGGTCATTTAAATCAGCTCATAGTCAAACTTATTTATTATGTATCGTTAACAATAATTAACTTTTTCAATCCTTCCTTAAAGTACGAAATTATGCATTAAAATAAATTAAAGCTATTGATTTTTTTATTTATTAAAGCGTAACAATGATCTTTAAATGCTGCAGTTTGATGGTTCCAATGTTTTATATGCAAGCTGAATTAATAATGCAATGTGAAAGCCTGACTTATAAACGTCCGGTTTGATTTGTACAGGTATCACGACACGGTTTCAAATATCCTGTCTGCTGTACCTTATACTTGAAATTCTAATCCTGAGTTGTGAAAATATCTTAACTCATTTTACTCTGTGAATATTCTATACAGTATTAACGTGAGAAACATAATAATGCTTCAAGATAAGATAAATGTACCTCCCTGACTTACAATCTGTAAGTTAGTTTATTATTAAAGGATATTAATTTTAATCAGGTAACTGTATCAGTGTATTTTTTTTTTTTACATTTGTAAGATTCATAATATGGTACTCAATAAAAAGGAAGGCATCTTGTTAGGTATGACCCAGACCTAGTTCTGGATGTGCTATATGAGCAGACAAGATTTAATTTATTTTTTGTCATCATAATATCATAAGATTCTAATGCAATTTAGGGAATGCGATGACACACACTTTATCTTTTCGGTTTTATATTCCTTTTGTTGTTCGTAGCAGATACAAGGGAACTTCCAGAGATGGGATATACCCCCCTTATGTAAAGGATCACCCCCAAAACCTTCCTGTCTCGACCTTAGGTTCCGCCTTCTTTGAATCTTAGATCCTCAATAGCCACTTATGCCACCTCCGCAGAAAAATTCTAGATCGACCACTGTTTTTTTGTTGCAGATAGATTTTATCAATCACTTTTATTTCATTCTCTACTCCTTTCCAGGATTGCTGACCAATCAATGTTTTTTCTCTTCTTTTTCTTGATACCTAGTACTTTTTATCTTATCACTGATTATAATTATCATGATACTAAAATTAATTCAATGTTGTTGTTCTTTAAATGAACAGGTATGATACTGTCCGGAGACCTATTATCAATCTCTGCGATGGTGTACCTGCTGTGGCCCTCACGTAACCCAACTTACTTCAAGCTGGTGGTGGACGAACGCAAGGTGCTCCTACAAAAGTATGGTTACGCATATAACACCATCTAAGACATCTCAAAAGAATTGATATCACCATTGCTGCGGCTATATAATTACGGACCGAGTCTGTCTCTACCTTGATAAGTCATATATATTTCTGAATGATAGAAATATATCTTTATATTTATTTACATAATCTATATCCTTCACTATCTTGACTACAGTATTATAGCTAATTTTATTCTATAATACAGTGTTCATCAATTTGTGGACATATACAGTAGTATTTAATAATATTCAAAATGAGGTGAGCATTTATTTAATACAATAAAGAATTAAACTTGTATAGCACATACTCTGCCAATCAATCAGTTAATCTAATTTAAATTAATGCTATATGCTAAGCTATGTGAAAAACATACACCAGAATGCTAATTGTATGCTGTTAGTGTTAGTTTGTAAACCCTTGCGGAAGACACCCTTACAAAGAGTATCATGGTCACAAAAAAGACAAATTTGTATTATAATATACTTAATTGATGATACCTAGATGGCTAGAAATTGCACATTCTAAAATCATGCTTTCATGTTATTAAAAAAAAAGTATAATTTTTGTTGATGGTAATCATGAAAATTAGTTTTTAAATTGTCATTAATTGATGAAGTACCTCACTTATATTGGCTGTGATAAATCATTCCTCTTAGAAGTTTGAATAAAATACAAAAACAATTTTACTTTGGATTAGAAAAATATATGTACTCTCCAACAACCATTTAAGTTTTTGAAACTGCAACCAATACAAACCATTAAAATAGATATTTTGATTGACATACTAGCTTTGACTGAATATCTGTGAGATTATTTTACATTATTTTTAAATTTATTTCCAGCATCGATTTCAAAACGAATACTTATTTATTTTTAGTAAAATGCTTGATACTGTATCACCAATATCTATTTTATTGTAACTTTCTGGCATGGGATTTTACAGTGTAATTTTGTATTCATTGGGACTAAAAGAGTCTTGAAATAATATGAGGGAGGGCAGCTGATGGGGCCCCTAAATGATCAAATAAAGGTGGGGGGAAACTGAGTCTCTTTTGGGCGCGGTTGTTTTTTTTTTTTTTTTTTTTTTTTTTGGTTTGAACATTTCCAGTGTGTGGGGGGAGGGGGGGAGAAGGGGAAACTCTGGGTGTGCAAACTTTTTTGGGGGTGTGCAATCTATTTGGGGGATGTGTCCCTGTGTACCCCTAGGTATGCCACTGTTTATATCTTACTAGATTCATCATCAATAATGTAACATGCATTGATTCCATTATGTCCGCTTTGTGCCAAATCGATTAGGTTAGTTTTCAAATGATGTCTAAATTGAGTAGTATGTGTAATTACGCATGAATAATTTACATATACAGTAAGTTACAACAGTATACTTGCAGTGATCGTGTAGAGTTAGTAATATAAATACTAAAGCAACAATTAGCGAAGATGTGAGGAATTATAGTAATAATAATATTGATAATACTGATGCTGTTATGGTGATGACAATTGAACAAAGTTACAGTAGAAAGAGTTAAAAGACTGACCTTCACCACATTTTCCCTCTCTAGGATTTTAGTGATACATCAGTGCTTATTGCAGAATGCTATAACTGCTTTTTAGATATAAATAGCTCATAGTTGTCATCCTCCATAATGTTACTCTACAACTACACACTTTACTGTACATTAGGGAGAGATATTTACATAACTTATTACACATAACTGCCAGTGTCACTTAAGCTCCCGTGAACCATGCTCCAGTGAGGCCTTATACAGAGCCTCTTAGTGCAGTTGAGCGAGGCAATGACGCTGGTTCTGGGGAGCCCTTATACAGGGCCTCACAGTGCAGGAGAGTGGCACAATGACGTTGGTTCCAGCGAGTCCTTATATAGGGCCTCACAATGCAGGAGAACAGAGCAATGACACTGGTCCATTGTGCTGTTTTCTCTGTCTTTGGTTGTTACCCTCATTAGTTTTATGGAATTTCTTGGTATAGATTTTTACTTTCAAGTCTTTCGCTAATAAGCACATCTTACCACCTATGTTTTCAGAAGTGTTGCTAATATTTTTTTTAAATAGAAATACTCTAATCATGTGATTACAAATTATGTATAAAATTATTCACAAAGTTTAATGTTGATACTTTAGTGTCTGCATAGAAATTTAATGGTTTATGTTTAGATGAGGTCACCATGTGCATCTGCATAATGTAATCTAGTTTATTAAAAATTATTGATCATGTTAGAAATGTGTTACAAATATGCAAGTCTTAAGATAAAAGTGCAAGGATTTTAACAGAATGTTATGTGTCAAATTTGTGTGAAATGCCCATATATGGTTATGATAATATCATATTATACCCAAATATGGGCATATTACACCCAAATACGGGCATATTATTACACCCAAATATGGGCATATCACATGTTTTTGTCACCTGAAGTTTGATAGTGTAGACAGATTAAGATGCTTTCCCAGTATTAATAACGTTTGCATTATTTTCTTATGTTTTTTAACTTATTTTTTATATGAAACTTTCCAGTGCTAATAACCACCAATTAGTTTTATAATAAGATGTGTCATGGATAACCACTTGTGATGGCTTGTTTCTATTGTTACTACCAGAAAAAGGTGTCTAAAATTTTGTATGCCTGAATAATAGCATTTTAATTTTTATATTTTTTTTAAAAGTGCATTCAAGGATATGTGGTAAAATAAGTGAATGCTTTAATTTATATAAATAATGTCACTATGCTTGAGTCTACAAATGTTTTGGCTAACTGGTACTGGTAGTCTTCCTTAAGGTTATAAGTGCAGTTCTTTTCCCTGGTCATTTGGTCCACATGGTTAAAGTGTTGCTGCTGATAATCAGCACAGGATCGGGCAACCCCACCACATACCCATTTATATTCCTGGGTGGCGAGAACCAATGCAGATAATTTGCTTGCTCAAGGACACAAGCGAAATGCACAACAAGGATTTAAACCATTTCGCTGCGCCAAATCACTAAATGGCTCAAGGGAATGAAAGTTCTAAGCTAAAATGGGCATTTTTTTTTAAATTTAAAAATGTTGTGCTAAAATATTATGTAACAATTAAAATTATTGTAGAGTCAGCGACGTTATGTTATGTATAAATTGTAATTATAAGCTGCTGGATGTAACTTGTAATTGTTAAAAAAATCATGGTTAAATTGTTGATTATGAATTATGTACAGTAATAATTTATATGTTAACTATATTTTGTAAATGTAGTGTTTATATGATTTTGTATTTCTTTGTCATTATACTGTATATGAAAATAATTACCATTAATTTATTTGAATTCATACTTTTCAATGAACTAAACATTCCTCATCTTATTCAATATTTGTTATGAAGTTATACTTTATGAGTACTAAATATTACTGTATTTCTATATTATGTGTAATATGATATAATTTACCTTTCATGCAACTAAATATTCATTATATATTTTTTATGAAAGTACATTATTCAGAGTATTACAGTAACAGTTATATGAAATATATTCATTTTTGTATTATCTGGTAAATTCTTGGATTATGTTATAAGTATTTAATTTGACAATATACTTTCAAAATGTTCATGTGACTATTAGTACAGGCAACGATTGGTGGAAACTGGTAATATATAAAAGGCTGCACAATAAGTTGATATAAATTAGCCAAACACAATATTAGTATTCATGTTTACCTAATACAGTAGAACCTCGATTTTATGTACGATATGGAACCAAAAGTTATACGTAAATTGTAGGATTCGTAAAATTGAGGTCGAGTCAAATTGGCTCAGATAATTAGCCTTATAACAAAATGTTTTTTTCTTTCTATTTATAAAAATTTAAGTGCAATACAGTATAAGTATACAGTTTTATAATAATTATTGATGAAGTTGGTTTGTTATTAAATACTTTGTTATTGATGTTTTCCTGTAGTAAACAGTACTCTGGCTTGTATTAGTTTTAGGCCTAATGGGCGATAGATGCATTACCTTGAAATCATGCTATAGGTCAAAGATTTTATGCATAGACGTAAATTAATGATTCTTTGTAGGGATCATCTTGAATGTTATCAAGAAATGTGGTCGAAAGCATGTGTACAGTATGTTCTGCTAAATCTGCATTTATAAAAAAATAGAAATTAGAAAAGAAATTTATAATAAAGTGTTAGAAAGAAAATAAAGTGATAATTGTCAAGTTGTGTGCATAGTAGCTAAAGATGTTTACTATTGGAAAATAAGAAATGATACAATAAAGATGATGCAAAAATTGCTGCAATCCGTGTCGCTATGCATTTTAGTAGGTCATTTAGAAAGGGTTGACCCCTTAATGGCTGTTAAATCATAGGACTTTGTCCAAACTCAATGAAGAAAATCTCATTTGCAATCGCCATTTCCTCAGATTAATAGCTTCATTTCATTTATTTTGCCAACAACTTTAAAAAACATACAAAATGAAAAAAAGGGACACAACAATTTGTGAGTGGCAGGATAAACGAAAAGCAAACTTAATTGCTGTTGACATTTTTTTCCTCTGGCAAAAGTCTATTTACACTCTAAGGAATATCATCACATAAATTTAAAATACCGAAAAGTAATATATTGACATAATCAATATTTTGTTACAGTAGTTAAGAAAATATACCAGCCGCATTTACAGTATAGCATTTTATATCCTTTATTTCATCTCCACATACAAAAACAAAAATTACAGAATCTCAAGAGTGAATCGCTTTAAAAGTGGGTTCCCATAAACACTTGGCCAATAGCAAAATCTCAACATATAAATAAGTATAAATAGCCATACTGAAAATCTAGTGTTTAAAATAATATTTGATTTCATTGTAAACCTTTAACAGGACATTTAAATTTGTAAAATAGCAACAAAATCAATTACAATACAAGGCAGATGAAATAAATACTTCAAAATATTATGACCGTAACATACCTCTAAATGTTTATGATATATAAATATAATAAATATTTTCACTCTCCTTTGTTTTCTGATTTGAAAAACCATCATGTGATTTAACATTATTCATTGCATATTACACAATATCTTGAGACCCTAACACAAAGAGTGTACACCACTTGACCACATCGCTCTACTGATAGAGTTTCCAGATGGTATCGGAAAGTCTCGGGTTCTAATCTTGAGGACGTTTTTTGCAAAAACTAATATTGTGCAAAACAAATAAAGGCAGAATTTTGCGATATATAAGATCCAAAGTAATACATAACATATTTATTTGAATAAATGCCTCCTCCAGAGCCTCATTTGGAATAAACCCCTCCTTCAAACGACCCAGGGCATTTATTTTTTCCTCGAATAAATGACTAAACAGAACTAATGGAAGCAACATCATTTTCAACACATTCTATACATTTTTTGACTTGGTTGGGATCAATATATGTCTTCATGATCACCCAATAACATTAATTATTTTGACATAATTATGTATTGTAATTCTGCTTACAGTGAAATTAAGGGGCATTTATTTGAGTACAGTATATACGTGCCCATTTCACGGCAAAAAAAATAAACACCCCCCTTCGAAAAAATGCCTCTCGAAAACTAAACACCACTCAAAACCCTTCTCAACAATTAACGCCCAGGAGTGTTTATTTGAATAAATACGGTATATTGGGGTGTATAATTAAGACATCCATATTGGCAAGAACTTGGCATTTTCCATAATTGTATGGTGGTTTGCTAGATAAGAACAACCTCAGTCATTTAAATTGCAACATTAACGCCAGTGAAGCAAAACCAGACACATGACATAGCAATTAACACTCATTAAATATTAACCATGATATCTATTGAAATGCGAGTAACCAGTAGTGCAAGCTAACGGCCAATCATGTTTATTTTAAGAAGTATGATTAGTTTTCGGCTAGAATAAGGATTATATGCTAGGTTATGTACCAGTATTATTATCTCCGCCAGGAAATATATATATTTTTAGTCATGTAAGTTTGTGTGTGTGTCGCATTTTTGTGTGTGTGTTCAAAATATCAAAATAAAAATGGCTGCACAGATCTGAATAAAAGTTACAGGGAGTGTTAGGTATGACCTAATGAAGAAATGAATAAACTTTAGTGACAGTCTGGAGTAGGGTGTGGATATGAGGACTATTTAAAGGAAAATGTAGTAAAAGGCATTTTGGTTTTTTTTTTTTAAGTAGGTGGTGGTTTGGAAATTAGGTGGGTTGTCACGTTTTTCACATTTTCAGTACTGGAAAATAAAATGTTTTAATATTATATGTTTCTTGGATTTTGCGTCCGAAACGTAACATGTGTAGTGTAAATTATGCCGACAGTGAATTTTGGGCAAATCAATTTGGATTACAAAATCTAAAAATTTCCACTCTAAAAAAAGAGTACCCCAAAACCAAGACTAAAAGTGGAAATAGAGCTCCTTTGAAATAAAAAGTGTTTTCGTGAGTTGCTGTGTGTTTTTGAAGAAGAGCAGAGTGAATTGTGTTGAGGTGGTAGTTGAAGTAAATTTGGAACATATTCTGAGAGATTTATTTTATGGGCGGAGATATGCTCTCTACTTAGTGCTCTTATTATTATTATTATTATTATCATTATCATTATTATAATTATTATTATTATTATTATTTTTATTATTATTATTATTATTTTTATTATAGTTAGATTTCTTTCCCCAATTTTCCTTTGATAACTGTGAAGCATGCTGAGATGTTCACCATATGTGCTATACAAAGCTGAACATATTTTTAATATGCAGACTTAGAATTTTGATACGAAGAGGCCATGTAAACTCAAGCACCACTTTTCAGCTGGGACTACTGCTCGGCAAATCTCCTTAAATGTCTTTCCATCAAGAATGAGCAAATAAGGGAGTTTTCCCTCACGAACATCCAGCACTGTTGACAAAACAACTCCTGAAACAATAAAAATATATTATGCCGTTATAAAAATTTGAGTTGGTTGAGGCACTGTGTAATATGCGATACATAAGTATATAATTAGTACTGTTATTCTTTTTGTTTCAACATTACACACCAGATTGCCAATTAAAGGGTGGGTTTATATATTTGAATGTCTATATTTTGTAAGAAAATGTCTGTATAAATAAATTTACATTTTTATATTGTGCAATTCAAACATTAATAGCCATTGGTACTGTTGTGCAAAGTTATACTGGAATAAATAAATACATAAATATAATAAAATTACAAAAATACATTTACAAAATACCGTAGTATTAAAATTTGTCATGAAGTCTCTGCAATTTACCATTTTCATTTTGTTCTATTTTATGTAAAATTGTCGTTTACCATTATACTTTGATAATCGATGCAAAAATAATAGTAATTCATGTTTAAAGTCTATCAAAAATTCTTCCAACTAATAAAAACAGTAATATAAATGAATAAATAATACTGATGTAAACGAACCATCATCTTCATCATTTGCTCCTGGCTTAGGAACAAAGACTGGTTCAGCAGTGAAGCAGCCCTCTTCAGACCAACTCACAGCGGTCCTGTCCTCAACATCAAGTTTCAACAACTACACATAACACAGAGAAAAAAGGCAACAGAAATAATATCACCATTTTTATGAGACATTAAGCAGGTTTTATCATGTTTTTTATTAGATGTATTGATCTATGCAAGTTTATTGGCTACAGCTGCAAACACTTCCTGGATGAACAGAAAACAGGCATTGAATGGCTTTTTAAAGATAGAGTTTGTAGCAAAATTTTAAAAACCAATTGAAACATTAAAATTCTCATTTAAACAGATTAGGTAAGATATTAACACCAAATGAGACAGATTGAAACAACTCAGTTCAAAATAGCTAGAAAAGCATAATTCAATTTCAAAGTATTATTGTGATGACTGCTACTATCAACTCAGTTACAAACATATCATGGATGTATGACTAATAAAAGGAACTTGAATTGGATTCTGTGAAACAGCTGTTTTAAATCAAATTAACATAAATTAACGAATAAGCAACATTCATGAAAAAAATCGTAAGTGCCAAACAAAACACAAAACTTAGGTTTAATAAGTACTGCTCTCGAAAGAGCAAATTATACATATAAGCACCACACCAAAGACTTTTAAATTGTCATAAGCGTCACACCGTATTTTGGTTATTGATGGTATTTGTTGTTTATATTCTTCTTAATTTTGATTGCAAACTAAGTAAACAAAAAAAAAATTTTCTCTAAATCTTCCATGATTTCCGCAAAAATATAAAGAATTACTTACCTCACCAAATCCCTTACTTATTCCATAAGCATATCTGTATGGCTTACCATTGTATTCTTTGTAGTTGATGCGCGGAAGTTCTATACCTGAATTAGGATATCATTTGAAATATTAAAAGCTTTTAAAAACAATCTTGGATATACAAAATATTGCCTTTGAGCTTTTTTTCACAACTATATATCAATCAGTTATTCAATAAATTAATAATAATAATAATAATAACAATAATAATAATAATAATAACAATAATAATAATAATAATAATAATAATATGTTGGTTGCCATTTTGAATTATGCAAATTAGGTGAATTCACTGGCATCACTTGTCCGGCAGAATTGGAATAGTATGATGTGTGCCACCAAATTTGTTGATTGCAGAAAAATTTGAACCAAAATATCCCTAAAAGCTCCCACTATTCACAATAATATTACATTTATTCAGTTAATCAAAAGCAACAAATACAAACAGTCTATTACAATAATTAACTGGGATCAAACATAGAAGCATAGCTTGTCTTAGTTTGCCCCGACGATAAAAAAGAAAAAAAAAATTCAAATCAAAGGGAAAACAGTAATAAAAAATAACTTAAAGCAATCAAATTATGGCATATTACATTTCTATATAATTCTTTTTCATTTTCTTTCTAAATAGATCGTTTTTAAATTTTTGCTAAATCAATATCATTCCATATTTTGGTTGATAGATCGTAATTAAAAAATGGAGTAAATTTTGAGTTCTTTAAATAATAATCATGGATTATTTTATGATTCTGGAATAATGAAAGAATAGAAGTTGGAAGTTAACTTTTAGTAAATTGAAACATAAAAAAAGCAACTTGTCATTATATTTGTACACAAAGCATGAGTGAACAACAATGATTGGATACTTACCTGTGTCAAGTAATACTTCAGAATAACAATGAACACAGCCATCACTCTTCAGAACGGCTCGACAAGAGGTGCCTGTAGGAAGAACAAGGTCAGTGTCTGGTTCAGTGCCCTACAAAGGAAAAAAGTGGTTTTATTAGATAATCTTGAAATTTAGAATAGATAAAGGTATTACTGTTTAATGACCTGAAGAAAAATTCCCCAAATATATTGTCAAACTAACTAAAAAAATAACAGGAAATAACATACATCAGGGGCGGATTTAGGGGGGGGGGGCCGCCCTGAAAAAAGTTTCGCGGGGGCATGCCTTTGTTGTCTCGATCGGCCCAAATTTCGGTCCCCCTTTAAGCCCCCCCTTTTGGACATCTCTGGATCTGCCCCTGTACATGGTCTTACTTTGTGGGGCTCCCAAAGTGGCCTTGTTAGGATCTTGTTGTTAATGCCTTTTTAGGGCCTTTTTTTTGTGGTAAATGTTTAAGAAAGTAACAGTATATTTTGCAGAAGTCTCTATAAATGTTAACTGTTACAGTATATTATCAATAAATTGGCATTATGTCAAAATCAATATAAGTTGGCCTCCTCTCAGTGTCTCGGGACCTACCAGTAGAGTTGAATAGCTTAGTCTTGGGAACTACTACTGTAGTAGAGTGAAGTTGCATAGTGTGGCTAGGATGCTTGCCTTCAAATCCTGTCATGGTAACAGGATTTTTTTCTCAAGACCAAAAAAAAAAAAAAAACCACCACCTCTTCAAGACTCATAATAAGACTTACACCCTATTCAGACTACACTCCATTTCGATCAGTTGCAAACTTTACATTGGAACAAGAGGTCAAACTGTACTAGACCTCCGGTGGATAGACCTACTGTACGTTGACTGACCTCAGCCTATCAGTGTTTGACGCAGAATTCATTGTGATCGGATTCCGCGGTAATCAAGAGTAATAAAGATTGTAGCACCCAATTGCAATGGTTAATAATTGCGATATCTATTACTTATTACTAAGCTTTCATAGTATGCGACTTTATTATGATGTAGTTCGTTTTTGCAGCAGCACTTTAATTATGGTGAAAGAGTTTTGTTTTTTAACATTTTTAGCGAACCCATCAAAGGAAAGTTTGGAATGTATTGCAAATTGAAAAAACATGTGCCTGCATTTGATTGTTAATCATTCTACAAATATGAATTACAGCAAGTTGATAATGTTCATTTTCCCAAGACTATGCGGATACGGCCAATTCCCACATTAGATTGATGTTGAGTGATCTATAGGGACTCTTAAATGTACAGTATACCTACTGTAGAATTCCCATATTTTTAAACTATTGCATTGGAAGATATAGACCTACCCAATATAACCAATGTGGATTCTAACTGTGATACCATTGGGCCTGGGCCTGTGGTCTAATAGTATGACAATCGCCTTGACAGCGAGAGATCAAATATTTAGTTCTCGTCAGTAACATGTTTTCATAGCGATGAGGAACTTTTTTGTTGATAGGCTATTTTCTTTACTCGAGCACAGTTTCTCCTATTATTTGATTATTTATTTATATATATTGCTCAGCTCCTTGATTACTTTTGATACAAGAGTTAGACAGGATAAGGGACAATGTTACATATCAGTACTGTACTATTTATTTATTAAATTAATTTTTTGGCTCAAGGCCAAGGATATGCCAATAAAGAACTTAATCACTTTACCAAGTGACAATTCCTTCAGAAGATAAACACACAAACAAAATGCTTTAAATACTGTACATTGAGATTTTTTTGGTCGTGAGAAAAAATCATGTTACCATGACAGGAATTGAACCCAGGATTTTAGAAGGCAAACATCTTAACCACCAAGCTTTTCAACTCCACTGCCATGGGTCTTTCCCGTTTCAAAATTCAGTCTTTTAAATATGTTTACCATTGCTTGGATCAAATTGCACAATCTTATAGCAACTTCTCCCTGAGAATGCTGTTCCTAAGTTGTAAACAGTTCCATCAGCTTCAATATGGGGGTGCGCAGTTTGTGTATGTACCGCAATATTGTTTCTACTATACAGGTTCACCTATCAATAGAGAATCAATCATTCAATCAATCAATAAATGAATCAATTGATCAATAAGTCAATCAATCAGTTTATCAGTCAAGTAAGAAATACAATCCTCGGTGATGCCTCTTTTTCTTTAATTTGAGATATCGCAGGAGGTGCTGTGCGGTACAGAAAAAATGGTTACTTACAACTTATTATCAATTGTTACTGTTGGCAAAATAATGCCCATGAAAAAAGGCTTTCAAATTACAGATATTTTACTTTATACTTTATAATTTATTCATTTACATTTTGCCATTATAGATATTTTGATAAATGATTTTTATCAAAAAATACTTACTTTCTCAGTACTTTTCAATGTTTCTAAATCAAGTTTACACAGGTTCTGCGTTTCCGATGATGCATAAAGCTCGTCAGCAATGGGAAGAATATTCACGTTTCCATTATCGGACATCTCTTCCACGGTAAATTTTGACATGAATCGATGGAAGATATTTTTACACGGATCTGGATATGATACAGTTCCAAATTCCGAGCAAACTATACGATTTTGTTTAAATGCTTTGGTGTAAGCATCACTGTTGAGGAAGCGACTCTGGTACGTGACATTTCCCTCTTTAATAGTAAAACGCAACAGCATCGCATAGCCATCAAAGAAGTGCCTCATCTGGTCCTTGCCTACTTCGAAAACAGCTGGGCCAGTACGAAGTAATTCTCCAGAAAGCCATAATGGCAAATTTCCTATTAAATATAATATATTTAACACTTTATGGCATGATAATGATTCAATGAAATGGGTTGAAGTGTACACCAAGTTACATATAATTTAAACATCAAAAAATGCTGCATAGGGTCTAGGCCTATACTATAATTAAATTAATAAACATTTTTTACCGGCTATACATAGTTTTATTATTATACTCCATATTATAATAGGAAGTTTTTAAAACAGATAAAAAAGCTTATCTATGCCTTGGTAAATACAATTTTACATGTAATATACCCATCGCCAGCTCTCTCCTGGAGACTCGCGCCTCCTATTGGATGGAAGTAAGCAAAGGACCCCGTGAATTCAAGCATGCCAGCCAGCCACGCTGGTGTAAGGCCTCAGGCTGCGCCTAGACCGCTAGCCTAGAGAAGTAGCCGGTTTCATTGGTTACCTTCGATATTTGCTTGCGTCGGTGTTGAATTATCCTTTAAAATTGACTTTGTTAATAAATCCTTATTAGAATACTTCGACATGCTTCCACATCCACGAGACATAAATCTACTTGCGTACCGAGTGCCTGAGAACATTTGCTTCTTTTCTTTTACGACGACCGACAGTAAACAAAAGTTGGTAAAGTCCATTATCGACTAGGGGAAGTTTGACTAAGGATACGATAAAAACGATTTTGCTGCAAATGAAATTCGATTAAAATTTACTTCCTTCTACTCTTTTCTACCGCGAAGTTTTGGAATATAGTAGCAAATATTCTGACAGTATCTTTATTGTTTCTCTTTTTATAGCAGGGACTTAACTTTTACTTAAAGTGTAAAATAAAAGTGCATTATTAAATAGGAAAAATAAAACGTGTTATATTCAAATGTTCAACCTTTTAATAGAATAATGTTCAACTTTGTGATGGCAAGAAATAATTATATAAAACCGGGATTAAAGTCAAGAATTTAGCAATCCGACATATCCGGTTACTTTACAATAACATGGCACACTTCATTCGAATTTATTGAAGCTCTTGACCATGACTCATCATCACGAGGACAGTACTATTAATAGGCTTAAGGCCAACTCAGACAGCGTCGGCCGACGCAGCCCGACGCGATTTGTTGTCGCGTCGGTCTGGGTGAGTTAAACGCAGACGCGATGGTGTGCGTCGGGGGCAGTCGCGTAGTAGAATATTAAACGTGTTTAATATTTCTCACGACGGCTTTAAAAGAGAACTAGCAAAATGATTTTTTGTTTTAGAGAGGATTTTTGATATGCCATTAATAATAGAATCAACCTTAAAATCGTTTTTTGGCCTTTTTTTAATGAAGTTATAGGCAATTATATACGATTTTACTATGACGTCACTGGCAAAAGAGTAACAAAAGATCGTGTAAAT